GGTGCGTGTTAAGCTTTCCAATACTTGAAACTGCAATGACGCTTAATCGATTCTTTTTTGCTGATGTATCTGTCACGTCTATCCTTGATGGGTTGGTCTAGACTAAGAGAACCCATTAGCGTACACCACAGAACCAAGATCATAACACCTCAACTAGTAGTCTGACGTGAGATTTGCTATCAGTAAATTCTTCGCGCTGGAATAAATTTGTTCAAGCAAGCGCTCCTTTCCCATCTCCTTATCCTCATGCTCGACTTTCTCAGCATTATCTTTCGGTGTCAAATTTCTGCAATAGTCCCAATGAGCGCTACTTCCCTTTGGGATAAAAACATTACATTTGTGTCTAAAAGGCGACGAGTATAAGTGCACGAACCTAATTTTATGGCAAAGAGTGAAAACACCGCCTATTTGCAAGAGAACTGCACTGCATAGTTCTTACTGGTCTCAATGCAAAACAGCGAGGGACAACAACAGTATCATCCATTCCATTGAGAACTGCCGAATGAGCACCGGATGATGACGGAAAGCATCAAAGGCAGATGATTCTGATCCGTATTGTCGCAAGGTTTCCAAATGCACGCAACCAGAACGAAAATGAAGGGAACCGAAGAAGTGGGGCCTTAGCAATGGTGTTAAGTTAAAACAGACGGAAGCTGTGGCCTTATAGCCACCCGAAATCGATGGAAAATGCTTGACACCTGGAAAGAAGATGAGTTGAGTTATGTGCCACGATCCAATACCGGAAACATTAATGGCGACTAGAGTGTGTAGATCGAAGGTAGAAGAATAGGGAACAGTAAGGAATCGTGTTTAAATTAAAGCTTCCAAATGTTGGGAAGCAATAAGCAAGGACATTCTTAGATATGTACATTAAGTAATTCTTCTAAGCTGTGATGTTCCCTTGAATCGATTAAGAGTGATCGCAGAAAATAAAATCACTTGCCACAAGACTTTATTCGACTGCCTGAATAACTGGTGGTACTTTGTTATTTATCGTGTCCATGTTTGCGCACACTGGCTGTCTGATCAAGCTAAAGCACGCCCCCTTCGTCCCCCCCTGAATATGGACCTTCTGTCTCATTTAATGCGAAGTCACACTCACAATGGTGATGCAGCTGACTGTGGTCATCATTAGAGCTGCGTGAAGGGCGTGCATTGGTATTAAAACGGTATTCTACGCTGACTCAGCCCTCAGAGCAAAATCACTGACCTACCCTTTATGGTGATATTACAAATGTGCGGATATCTGGATGGCCTGGATTGGGAAAATCTGTGCGGTTCTAGAGCCCGTTTTTCCCACAGCATGATGCAACACACCAAGCAATGGACGTGGCTTGACAGACGTCTTTGTCGATTACATGTTTCACAACCTTTTAACGTGCCCGTATAGCCATTGTGTCTTGAAATGAGAAAGCTAAATCCTACTCGCGTTTCCTATTGACGCTATCCTCGGACCATGTCCAAGAATGCAAACACGTGTACTTTTGGGCCCTTTCTATCCACAATCAAAATATCGATGAATTACTGCACGAAACATCTTAACTCGAATCAATTTGATCGACATTAGAACTGATTTAGATTCCATAGTTGACACACACACGACTGAATTATCTAGCAGTACCACATACCAGGCAGCTTCAAAGAGGACGCCAAGGGAAGAACAAGAATCCCTTGTAGCTCATCATGAGTCTAAAATAGTAATCATTTTAACTGAGGAAAAAGTCAAAAGACTCAAGTAGGACGTCCCTGTGCACATCTTCTTCTCTGTGGAGTCAGGAGATTGGTGGCTATGGTGAATTACGGGTCATGATAATGACATACACCTTTGGACTAATGTTTTGAAATGGAATTTACATGATGTGGTAATCAACTATATCGGTAGTGTATGCGCTAACGCCCACATGTCGACCAAATTATAGCCCCTTTGTTTTAGTTTACAAAGTGGACCATAGTTTTCTAAAGCTCAGGTAATGCAATCAGTTATAGCATTCTGAATAAGGTATGTCCCCACTTCCCGTAGACGTTACTGTTTCAAAAGTTTATGTCTCAAATAAACCTGAATGTATTGCGTGAAAAGTGCATGCTATCCATATAATAATAAGGCCATAATGAAGGACTTGCTGTTTTCTGCGATGGCTCAAATTCATCTCATACATACATGCCATTAGAGTCGAGCCTACTATGGTCCTGTGAATAGTTAGCTTGGATCCATAATACCGCACTGCCCTTGGGTGCAGCATAGGGGAGAAGGTAAGCAGCATTCTTGGGAACTTTAACGTTAAGTAACTGAACAATCCTTAGTTGGCTTTGGTCAAGGGGATGAAAAACTCATCAAAGCTCAACGATTCAATGCTTAAGGCTCTATGGAAACAAATATTTACCAGTAGGCAGTGTGCGTATCAGTCTAACTTGTCATTGGTGGGAAAAGAGCTAATAACGGCTAGTGCAAATCTCATTGTCTGACTTTGTTATCAATGGAATCAAAAAGGAGTATTTGTGATAGCAAGCCAAGCATTGCCAGGAATGACTGTACTCATTAATACTCATATTATATAGGCACAGCTAAGAAATTATATGGATAAAGTAAAAGTTTAACAGTGCAGTTGATTGACATTACCAAAATTGGAACGCCCTGCATAACAGTTACGCTAAATGCTGCAGTAAGAGGCATTCAGATTACGTGCTGCGGGCGTGACGATCACGAGGGCAGATGTCCCCAAACCCTTCTGCCAAATCGGCTCCTCGCTTTCAATGACATAGAAACGTAGGTGCTAATGTATGCCCTGTGCGGTTCTCGACATTTAAAACAAAAAGGGTACATAAATACGATCTAGCTGGTACAAAACTGTTTAGCAGTCGATGGTTCTGGTGTTGATTGGGAACGGTCCGGCACTCACTGCATTGTCAATTTACCACAAGGCGGTGGGGAATATGAGCTCGCCAGAAATAAAATTCTAAACAATTAGCTGAGACTGAATCCGCGAACTTCGCTTAAAACTGCCTACAAGAAGGCGTCTTCTGTTAAAAACAAGGTCATTGCATTCTTTGTGGGTCAATTTGCATTTGACGACTTTGTTTTTATCAAAAGGAAGACAACTCACTGTTTTGTTGAAACAATGAGAGCGATGGCATCTTACACTTCAGTACAACCTTTTATCTTCCTAACTAATGCCTGCACTCATGCATTTTGTGCACTTTCTACTTCAGCTAGTCCAAACTCCTCGACTCAATCTGCTCTCTCCCCTTCAGATGTTGAAAGTAACCACACGTATTCTTCATCGCAAGTTTTAATTGGCACTGAATAAGAAAGTTAAATGTCTTTACTTTATACTGCTTCTTGGAATATCGTGGTATTTTCGGGCACATCGAGCACAATGCTTTCATAACCATACTTACCAAAATTCAGCAATGTTTGAAATGGCGAATCATGGTTATACAGATTTTAGGAGAGGAATAATGCTTGTCATATTTCTCGGCTGCAATGAATAACAAATCGCTTTCACAAGATTTTGTAATAGTAACTGTAGCGTCTCAGGACTTCTCACCGGGTGCAAGAAGGCGTTAAGTGACAGTGGATACGTGTATTTCAAAGAGAGCGAAGTGGCTAGGTCTGAGCATGGCCCGAAGGCCAGCCCACATATACAAGGAGCAGACATATCTTCAAGTCAATCGTACGTTAAGTAGTCACATAAACAATGCATTAATGTCATTAATTTTACAGTAAGGTGAGAAAAGAGCTGTATTTTAGAGACGATGTTGTAAAAGCAAAAGAAGAGTTGCAGATGAGTAAAAATGCTAAAAGCCCACCAGCAACGAAGTGAAAAACCCGTTGAATAATAATGTAAGATGAACCAAGGATGGTGATGGTTACAGTGATGCCCCTGAAACTAAACAAGTGACCGAATGCGGAAGGTTATAGCATCATCAGTACAGGGCGTTAGCTTGTAGACGGGAAAATTTTAAGCCGAAAAGTTTTAAAGTTAACGAAAAGTTAAGGCATTGTATGCAGTAGCTCTCAGCATAGTTTAAATCCTATGAAGCAATTTACTATCAACATAATTAATAATGATATTGGTATTGAGTGCTCATGCTAGCAATCCTTTGCCGAAGATTAAAAACACCCATCCCCTATTCTCACTCGACGCGGAGTGGATACAACAATCTAAGTGAGATGTAATCTTTACCTTTAAGCTTCGGGTGTGGCTCTTGAGTGATGCCACGAAGAAATTCGTCTTAGTAAAGTGAGAGATCTTACCGTTTTTGAAAAACGAAAACGCTTGAATTGCTTTCGCTCATTGTCATAGACAGCTATTTAAATCTGATGTATGGTACTCACCTAGCCCTGTTTTAATGCCGAAAAATGTCTTGGCTATTCTTAAGGTCAAAGCTTGCTTACCGATCTTAAAGAAAACCAAAATGCAAATTAGCTACGCACCGTTTAGGGTACGTAAATTGAGACTTAAGTGAAATATCCACCGATATGTTTAAGGGCAATTTTCTTAGTAGTAAATTTGTGGCCAGATTGTCTCTCAGTAATTTATGAATTTTGCGACCTTTTAAAATAGTGCAGCACATTTACTAGGTTGGAGCAAAAAGAAGCAGAGGAGCAACGTTTAGAGTTTGTTTAATCTAGACGCTTACCCTCATTCTATTTTTTTTCTGAACCACTCATAATGGTTTAATATCGCATCCCATAAACAAAATCACTCAATTTATGCAACGGTGGCACAGTGGCCCAGGCAAAAGTCTTCAGTTCCCTAGAATTAGCTTCGAGGCAAAATCACTTCTCGAGTCCTTAGTTTTCCATCAAACACCCACTTTAGTAGATAACGAAAACAATTTTAAGCGCTCTAACTTTTCAGTGTTTTAGCATGGCATCATCACGCAAATTCCGAATTTTACATTAGCCGATTCAAGCACATTGGTGAAGCAAAGTTGGGCGTCAACGCCAAAAAACTTATAAATCCCAAAAGGCTTAGGATCTTCTTACTTTTTTGGGAATGAATCGAGATGAAGTGATGCAATTTGTTGTCCTTGTGGCCATTTTCACCACCTCTGAAAGCCACTCTGCAGGAAATGGCGAATCATTAAATACACAACGTCAGCTTACTATCTATATTCCTTCTTTTGATTCGTTGTACTACAACTTCACGCATAGCGTTACCTCCGCTGTGGCATACTCAAATTCACTGATGCCGGTAAAGAATGCTATAATTTTCCTCGGTGCTTCAAAAAAACATTGGATGTCTAGTTATTCGATGCAAGAGGGCTCAAGGCCATATACGTTATGCGAGCTTTTACACTATTTGCAGGTCAGTTGTGAGGACCTCATGTTTTTCACAGAGTAATAACGACAATTGAACATCGGCACTCTACTGGGTGAATGTTTTATATGTGTGCTTAGATACATAACCTAAGCTTTCATTTAAAGGCTAAACGTTTTATTCGTGGGCTGCCCTACATTTTTAAATCAATGCATTAGATTTAGCAGTGTCCTAAAATTACCCGACCTTCATTATTATAAAGAGCCGTAGGCGATAGCTTAAATTCATCTTCTGTAAGGACTTATTAGCACAAATGACTTATGAGATGCCCACTGCATTATCCGTATACCAAGTTTTTGCGTAGCTATTGTGTGCAAAATGCCGTAAACATGGGATACAAACTATGCAAGAAAATCTCCCATACTTAAGCTGCAAGATACAACACCTTACAATAACAATTCTAGAAGTTTTTCTGCTATTAATTTCAAGTCCATTATTTAGAAAATGTATTTTGCATCTTGAGATCCCTTAGTACATGAAAATATTCGATTTGGCAGGTATTTGAACTTTGAAGCGAACAATTGTGGGCACATAACACCATATTAGCCTACGTAATGAGGGTTTCATGGTTATAGTAATCCCTTGCTGCCTTTCTAATCGTCAATTACTTACTAATGAAGAGGAAATAAACTCCTCTTATTATGAGTTAAGGTCATTTGGAAAACCTCGAGGATCCTTTTCCTTTATATTGCTTTTGGCATAAGACTGGCTGCGACTCAAATATTTTGTGAAGCCACAAAATGGTCTTTGATCCTTAAACAATAGACACACATCCAATTAAAGCACTGTAATACTGGCACTCAATTTAGCTCTACATGCACCCTTCAAGTCTGATTTTGCATTACCAAACTCACAGGTACAAGGCGATAATAATTCCTCTCTCCTTTTACATTTGGGATACGCATTCGGTCCAAATTGAAATGCGGCAAATGGCCAAAACTGCTGAGTTGTAAAGGCTTAAGTTCACACTAACGCTTCCCAAAATGCCATGCATCAGACGATATGGGTGGTGCTTTGATGTCTTGGTTTTGGGTAAAATTTGGGTATCATCATAAGATAATGTAAAATACCGCATCTGTTCGACCTTATTTGGAGTAAAAAATTCAAAGTGTTAATGCGCATATTCGAGTTTCTCGCTGCGAGCTACTTATGCAAACATATGTGCATTGTTCATGACCCAGCAAAAAGTGATTCCTTCTATTTTACAAAGATTCATGGTACACAACAGTGTGATCGCATCGAAACATGTAGTCTTTTGTGTTTTAGAGAATGGCGTCGAATTCTAGTGGATTTAGTGTGTTGCTGGGTCCCCCATTGGACAGCTACTGCAATTTGATTAGCGAATGGATCAGACTCGGTGACCCACAAGGGAAACAACGAGAACAGCTTTACCAGGTCTCCTACCATTGCCGGGTATTTGGCTTCTACGCTGACTTTGTAAACTACCCCACTGACGTCGGTCACTACTCTCTTGAATCACCCCTCGCCGCAGTCTCTGTATTAGTTCAACGCAAGAGCATTCTGCAAGGCATCATTATGTATCTCCTCAGCAAAGGCTGGAAGCGTGCTGCTCTCTTCTACGATATGACTACCACCAACTTCGATTTTCCCGGCACTTGGGATTTAATCTCATTGAACGTTCATCTTTCACGGAAAAGGCAAAATGTCCCCCAACTCTTAGCGTGTGTATGCATTACATCAGTAAAAAACTTTTTAAATTCATTTACAACATTAGAAGACCGTATAGATGGTGAGTAATCAGCTATCGATATTTTGAATGAATTGGTCCATTCATTACACTCTCTGTTTGTTGTCTCTAGTGGCAGTGATACTTGCAAGACCATCTGTGGCAATAGAATTTGTAGTTAGCATTCAGAATCTGACCAAAATTAAGGAGGGGAGGATAGCACTGATTCAAGTGGATCCTAAAGACATGCTCACCTATGACGCATTGCGTGCGTGGCGATGGCATTTGTCGAAGGCTGCACCTACAATGTCCGCCGGACGTTCACTCATTGTCCTAACTGCACTCCCAAAAGGGACGGTATACAAAGAGGAATCAATTATATTTAAGGAGGTAACTCACAAGTCTTTATCTTCACTTTACACATTCTTCACAGAGGTGGAGTATTAAATGCGCTTTTAGAGCAAATTCACCTTTATCGGAGGTACCGACTTTAAACTGTTGTCATGGGCAGTACTGTAGAGCAGACTACAATCTTAAATGTACCTACAAAGCATATTAAGCATAGAGCGGTTTCTTCTCCTCATTATTCTCCCTTAGAGCAAATCTTGCGTCTTAGTTGTTCAAATGTTGGTCAATTACTACCAAATAGGGGTTTACGCCTTCAGTGTTTTTAGACTGATTTAAACTGGGTAAAAACCGCACTAATCTTGACCGTAGTAATCACGAGCAAAATACGCTCATTTCCTTGCAATATTCTGTAATTTTTCTTTACTGCCACTGATGCTATATGAATCTACAATTTGTATCGGAAAGTGTTTTAAAGACTGTTAAGAGGTACACGCAACAAATGCTTTTTCCAATGTACACGGACCTTGAGCACACAATAAACACGATTTCTTATACAATGATTATAAAATTTCCTTTTTTGTAGGGAATAAGTCTACAGGTAGCAAGTGGAGCTGCGCTTGCAATGCGATTGGTCCAAATTCATATTCAAGAGGGTGGTGATCACATCAACTCCTCCACAAATTTCTTTGAACCAATGCGTGCCAATTCGACTATTCTTGTACCCGCATTACCCAACATTACTTTTCGCTACTCTTGCGATGAAGGCAATGTCATAGAAGGCAATTTTGATTTCTTATTCTTCGCCCTCAGGCCCAAAATCACTGATGTTGTTGACACCGAGAACCACACACGAAAGTATGAAGATATTTTCAATCTCATTGATATCATTCATTATCCTCCGATACTGCCACAATGGAAATGTAAAATGGATTGGCCCGGTGATGGAGAGGGACCCCAGCGCACACAGTGCCTAATAGCTCCTTGTGATTTCGGTATGTGATGGTCGTAAATTTGGTTAGACATTAATTATACTCCACTTTCTCTTTTAGATTCAATAAAATCCATTCTCGTAATGAACTCACTTGGATTTCTCTGCGCTTGCTTCATATACTTTGGAGCTGTGATTATCTACCGGTAAGTGAAATTTTGCTTTGCTGTTGATGCATCTAATTAAGGCAAATTGTTTGCAAGAAAAAACGCTTTAATTCGCGTAGGCTTAATTTCCTCGAAAGTGATTTTGTATTCGCTGACGAAGGAGAAAGCGTGAAGGCTGGGAGATGCGAGGACGTGAGAATGGTTGTTTTAGACTTTAACAAAAAAGAATTGCTTTAAAATTAATAATGTTTTGCTTTCACTTTTAATGCCATTATAGCGTGGACGATTGGCGTCAACTTGTGTAGTAGGCTCCTCATTTCATGCATTTAGGACGGATGCTCAAGCCCATATGTCATCTTCGAGTTTAAGTGAAGAGACTTTGCCAAGCATAAAGAAGATGCGGATTGCATCGTTAGACGTACGTCTTTTTGTACTGAAATTGTAACAACTATGGGATGAGAATAGCGAACTTAAACCTATTTTATCTATGGTGAAATGTAAACATTCCCCAAATGTTTGACAAAATCGAATTTTTTTGCCATATTTAGATAAAACTAAGCACCGAACATTATGGCACACTGTAGAATGGAAAAGCTTGTTTCCCAAAAGACATATAAACAGTTTAAGGACTAAATGCTTCGCATGGAAAGCGTCAAAGCATCATCGCACAGCCTGAGCAATCAGCCATCGAGACGTCATCTTGTTTCAGAGTTAGTTCTCGGTTTTCTGTCCTGCTAAATCACAGCATTTGACCAGTTGATCGCTTGCACGATTTCCACCTGAGGTCCCTTTTTTAAGTTAAAGGATAAAAAAATGGATAATTACAATAAAGTGCCATAGGAGGATACAATATTCCGAACAAAACGGCAAGGGTCTCTAGAGATAGGCCAACAAAAGCGTTTTTTTTAGTTTGCAGTGCAAAGTACCATGTCTTGCATAATTTACCAGGAGAAGGAAGCGGAAGTTTGCATAACTGACTCTCGTGTGAACGGCTTTTACAAAGTCTGTCACTGGGTCAGCCACTTAATACCTGCATAGCAAACAGTTCTCTCACTATTTATGGCATCACCATACCAAGTAGGAAAACAAACGAAAGTCAATGTTTGTTAAGGATTGCTATGATATACACTGCTTGACCATTGCTACTGTGCTAAACTGGCCATAAATGGAAAAGAGATTGCTTTGCCATCACTAATTTGTACCACTCCAAAAGCTGGGTTTTGGTGCCTTTGCTAATGCAACGTAAAATGGCAAGATGCATCATATGTGACTACGATGCGTTTAGTAAAACAAATTGACTCATGATATCTTGGTACTTCCAATTACAAATGTCAGCCATTGCGTTTCCTTATACTTCGTATAGCGGACATTGCGAACTTCACGATTTAGGTTCATTTGGGGAGCCAAGTTAGCACAAAGAAGTAGGAACCTATTTTTTTATTGATAGCGTTTGCTATTTTAGTTAAGAGTGTTCTCATCACTTTACCAATGAGTGCAGTGCCAGTCTGTCGATCAGTAGACCGGAAAACTTGGTATCAGGACTTTGTATGCATTATGACCCTTCTGGCGCTAAGGACTATGTGTAATGCCGATTTTACACTGCTGCCATGGATCGTTATTGTAAAATGATGGAAAAGATAACAAGCACTTATTTGTTAGTAATGTTTAGGTTTCACTTAAGTGTCCCATAACAGAGGTTATGGTCGGTAATCTTCAACATTCTCACGTTATTTTTGTTCTGCTTGTGTCCTAGGGTGATCAAGTCTGCATTAAAAGATTGTGCCATTCAAACGTTGTGCTGAACTCAAGCTTTATTGGATATCTCGCAGGATTGAGAGAAATAAGACACGAAAACATCAACGCTTTTGTTGGATGCTGCGTGACTCCGATCTCATTCAATCTTGTTTTTGAATACTGCCATTGGGGATGCCTTCAGGTGGCAGCACAAGAAGTTTTCTGCATTATTTGCAAAGCACTTATTCGTCCTACACATTCATTGAAAACACATCGCCAGATGGCTACTATTTTGGTCCCTAATAAGTGAATTATTTCTGTAGGCTGAGGGGTAAAAAGAGAGGCCATCTCCACTGGTCCCGTTCAGGGCAGTTGTATCGACCTTGACATTGTACGGAAAGATGAGTGACGTGATTTGGGTCTATGCAGAAGTGCCAGGACATAAAATAATAAAAGTGAACAATTCAAAATGACGAGTATATTGGTATTTTTGGACCATAAACGCCCTCATCTACCAATGATGCACGCTAACGGATTAGTTTGTTGCGTTTTCCTTCTAATTTCCAACATCAGCATAACCACATCGTCATATCCTGGACCATAAGTTACCAAATACTTTACAAAGCCACTTTCCAAGATGGTGCTATTCATTGATTAAAGGAGTACGACTAACAGCAGCTATCAGAAGTGGAATGTATATCACTCATCCTTTCCACATCTTTAGAACTCACTCACTCCCTAAACGGACCTCCACAGAAGCCACCCATTGTGATAGAAATTACTAGACATCAACATCACACTTCGTCCCATCATAATCAGAACAAGACCTTTGCAGCCATTTATAGGCCTCATAAAAGATTAAATGTTACTGTATGACAAGTTGCCCTTATCATAACTTTTGAGAATCAAAACTAACTGCGAAACACCTTTATTGACCGCTTCAAAGCAGATTTTCCTGTCTCTAAAACAGAATTGCTTTCTGACTTCAAAAAACGAGCTTTGACTAAAAGAGCACCTTTATCAGAGTAAGCATATTGTGTAGCGGCAAACGATGCATCCTTGCATTTGCATTTGACGGCGTTTAGAAGCAGCTTTCCATTCCATCTATGTAAATGCTCGCAATAAAGAGAGGCGGTACACACCTTTTCACTCGGCGCAAGAGCTTTGCATCGCCCAACTTGTTACTATATTATCATGCATAGGATGTCATCAGAAACAAAAGCATCACGTTCGACTGGGAATTCAAGCTTTCTCTCATGAACGATTTGGTTCGGGTAAGTAGGTACGACATCATGTCATTTCCATACGTCTCTTCCGTGTATGTTGAAGCAAATTCTACATGCTACATCACAAAGGGAATGGAATACCTTCACAGCACGAGTCTCAAGGCCCATGGCAGGCTGAAGTCAACCAACTGTGTCGTCAATTGCCGCTGGGTCCTAAAAATTACAGATTATGGTATTCCTAAAATCTACAACTTAATTGGCAGTTATCCTTCAATGGAACCTCAAGGTTGGTTGCATACACCGTCCTTTCTAGCTATCCCAATCACTAGAGAAATTATGGACATCACCTGAGTTGCTACGGGATGAACAAACGGCTTTGTTTGGGACTAGGCCAGGTGATGTCTACGCATTTGGCATAATAATGCATGAAGTGTTCTACCAAACAAAACCGTATGGACCAGGTGGCCTTCCAGTTAAAGAAATTCTGAAACGCGTTATGGGTAAAGAGAGTCCTCCTTTTCGTCCACAAGTAAGCGCCTTCTCTATTTAACAAGTGCTAGAACATTAAATTGGTAATAATGTGTAAGTAGGGTAAACGGAATTTCATGCAAAGCTGATTAATGTATGGAGTAACTTGCTATTCTACATGTCAAGTTTAATAATATAAGGTGAAGTACGCCTCATACCTTCGCAAAAGTAAGTTTAAAATAACCAGATTTCCCCAACCCAGCATGCGGTTTTATAAATCTGTTTCGACTTAATGGAACAGCTTCGAATCAAGGGACACAGATAAGCGGAATTAGACTTTGTGGCGACGACGTGAAGGTGTATTTGCAAATTTTTAAATGAATTTAATAATACACGGTTCTTGATTACGATCTTATTGATTCCACTCACCCTTCCCCTCTAATGCTCCCCTCTTTATTAGCTCCTCGAAGCAGGCATCCCACCAGCTTATACAGGAATTCTTGAACGGGCCTGGTCAGAAAACCCCAGTCTTAGGCCAACATTCAAGGAGCTGAAGAGAGAGATTCAGCAAATGACCAGAGGAAAGTGGGTTATCAACTCTAAAACTTTTCTTACAATGACTTAAGAAAAACTGATATTGTAGAGCATATGATAAAACTGCTGGAGAATTATTCGAGCTGGTTGGAAGAACAAGTAAAAACCCGGACAGAAGAATTGTCAGCGGAGAAGAAGAAGAAGGATCTTCTTATTCGTCGGATGCTACCTCCGTACGTAGCCTGTTGACTCAGCAGACATATCAATTGATGTTTGACTTTAACAGCAACACATAAATGTGGACCCTAATCAATAGTAGACCCTAATGTAATGTCTTATTAGCACATTTTCCCATTGATATAAGCTGGGAAGAGAGTTTTGTGGTATCCACACCTTCCTTTGCGCATCCAGAGTGGTTGCGGAAGCGTTGAAGGCAGGCATCGCAGTGGCACCAGAGACCTACGATGAAGTGTCAATTTACATCAGTGACATCGTTGGGTTTACAACAATTTCTGCAATGTCTACGCCACTGCAAGTTGTTGATCTTCTTAACGACTTGTACACCTTGTTTGACAAAACGATTGCGAACTACGATGTCTACAAGGTAGGTTTAGCTGGAAGAACTTGTGAGCACTTTGGTGTTTAGAGGTTAGTCCATTCTTTCATTCGAAAATTGGATATTTTTGCGTTGAGCATAAAGCCGAATTACTGTGATGTTTATTTGCTGTGCTGAAAGTGATCCCAGAAATTCGTTATTGAATCGTAAACACAAATATCAATGAATAACTCTTTCCATTTGTTTGGTGCCAACAAAATAAATAGCAGTAGTTCAGTCGCTTGTTTAAGTTGCGCTGGGCGCATGCTACTTAAATGGGTGCAATTTTTACTTGCGAGTGGATAAATTGGTAGACTAAGGTAAGGAAGCGCCTGTAAAGTTAGATAGGAAAGGCTAGCAATTCGGACGGTAACCTGCGTATCTCTCCTATTCTTACATGAGCATGCCTATCTGGAATATTTAAAGTATGCACCATTTGACTTTGGTATGCGCTCCGTGTAGGTGGAGACTATAGGAGACGCCTACATGGTGGCTTCAGGATTGCCAGTTCGTAATGGACGTCAACACGCGAGTGAGGTTGCTACGATGGCCCTCGATCTTCTTAGTGTGTGTGGGACTTTCACCATTAAGCACCTGCCAGAGGTACCTCTGAGGCTACGCATCGGTCTGCATAGCGGTTAGTTTAACATGCATTCGAGGGTTTTCGCTTCCTGTCCATGCGTCAAAAGTAAAAATTCGCCTAGTGTACTCTGCAGATAGTGTGCATTAAGACAAGGTTTTACTTTTTAATTTATCCGGATCAGGCATGCATGGACAGGCTTTGCATGCTACTGTACCTAAAGTAATCGTTATGGTTTCGTGGCACAGCGCTATCAGGCATCGTTTCCAGAAACAAGTCATATCTTTGGTTCTGATCGGTAACATTCGAGTCATTGGAACACGACTGCTATTCGCAATATTATTTTAAAACGTTAGCTTTCTGCATACATGGAGTACAAAATATTGACTATTATGGCATACAAAGTAAAAAGTATCCAGCTTCATCGATAATTGGACCCATACTATGAGTTTGATGATGACTTTTTGTCTATAGGACCTTGTGTTGCGGGTGTCGTAGGGCTCACGATGCCTCGATATTGCCTTTTCGGTTCTACTGTTAATCGGGCTCTTAAAATGGAGTCTTCTGGAGCTGGTTAGTGAGTCCTTAATTCAGCTCGGTCTCTTTGTTTCGATTAAAATCCTACTCGATGTTGGCTTTGCTTCAGCCTTTCGGATACATATCAGTGAAAGCATAAAGAAAATATTAGATGAAATCGGGGGATATTATGTTGATTACCGCGGTCCGCTTGAATTTGAAGGCGGTGTGAAGACGAAAAGTTATTGGTTATCCTACTGTGACAATTTTCATAAGCCCCTGCCTGAACCACCTCCACTACCAAAGTAAGCATTATTTTGCTATTGTACCGTAGTATACTTGCGTCATGGCATTTATTGAATTTGCTTGATATGGACCTAATCAAAAATGTCACAACAGTTAGTGACCCAAATTTGGTGCTTGAGAAGAGTAGTTTAGGAGAAATCCAATTAGCTATTTTGTCGAGGTGATGACGTAATTTACTACTGGTTTTACCCTAGTTCTACAACCTACTGACTCACCAATAATTGAAAAATAAGAATAAAAGTAGACAGAATTAGAATACTGTGGCCGAATTTGGGTAGTTTTAGCTTACTGACGTATGGAAGGCAAAATTCCACTACCAAGCAAGGTCAGTGAGAGTTGGTTAGGCAGAAGTATAAAATTCCATGAGCATGTTATAGGCGCGCAAAGATAATACCTATGTTTCTCCTATTAGTATTTCTAAATGAAAAGTTTCCGAATGCATCCTGTACATAGGTTAGGCTTTATGCGCATTTTATTGCCTCCGATAAAACTAGTATAATTAATTTGAATATGCGTTCCTCATGCATTGTGTGGCATATGGGGAGACACCAGCTTGACGATTGCTAACCGTAGCATCGATGATCTGATTTACCCTATAACTTTGCCATAAGCTGCAGTCAAACATTTAATGTACTTTGTTGTCTGTGTTGCAGTGGTGAAGCCCACGGGTAAGTAGTATCCTAAAAATGTCATTTCGTTTTTCCTTATGTTTGGTTTTGCGTCACCCCCTGTAAACGTGTGGTTGTTTTGCGTTCGCGCGTTTAGTTTTTAAGCTTCGTGGAGTTTAGCAAACATTAAGATGTCCCATAAATTGAGAACCATTAAATCCTTTAACAGCGGGAGAAGGAAAGACAGAAAACTTCTTCCCTTATTCTTTGATGCGATTAGTTCCTTGAGAATTATTGCAAGTTCAATTTTAATTACTTTTATGAGTACCCAGCGGTCCTATTCCACCGTCTTCAGCATTAGTATTTAGCCAAGTAACAGCCCATCAATGGCAGCAAAAAGAGGCCAATTTTATCACACAACGCTAGCCTATAACAGAACTACAAAGCAAAATTTTATGACAAAGGTAGTATCCTCTCAGCTAATCGGACTCTCATCTTTTCAAACTGGTGGTAAACCAGAGACGTCGCAGTACGACTGCGTTTTGGTAAATGTAGTTTGAGCCACATGTAACAGCTACGCTTCAGTTTCACTCAGTTGAGAGAGTTTTGTATGGCAGAAGAGGAGGCTTTATTATTCCAACCGTATACAATTCCCCACCACTCACATATGTGAGTACTCGCACCTGCTTTATAAGACAGATCGTCCGAACTCATTTCGAATAATGACAGTGGTATTGCTAATTAAAGTAGCTACTAATCCGTCTAACGTCCACCTCTATTAAGCAATGGTGGCCTTTCCACCGGTCACACCCGCATCCTGACCATAGCGATCAGCATTTAAAACTCAATAATCACCAATTTACAACCACCATTTTTCTTATGGTTCAAAATCGTCTCAACTGGTCCTCACCTCCTCTTCCGTTTTCTTCTAGGTTGGCTTGCGTCTATCCTGAGGCGGCTGAATTGCCTTTCAAGATGCAAAAATTAGCACAACAGAAACATTGCGAATTCACATAGCTCCTACTCGAAACAATTTCAAATGAGCGCTTTGAATCTTTCGCTTTTCCGAAATCTGGATCAGTTCTCTATCGGCCTCATTCGTTTTACTTTAGTTCAACTAATGTGTTAGTCTACCTTCTCAGCTGTTGTTGCCGTCTTAAAGTTGACAGGCCACGGAAGCCATTCAGCACTTCTGGTTAACAGCAGATCTTTGCAATAATATTCACTAATGTCAGAGATATGGCGCAGAATGGAACAGTGCTGACTAATTAAGGTACAATTCGTGACTAACATCGACCAAAATTAAATACTTTACAAAATGAGTTTAATAACTCAACATTCTAGTCCGGAAAGCTTGTGATTTCACCATGCCTATCGATGTCGCAATCAAGAGGGTGCGCTGATCGTCCATCAAGAGTATTTAGTTTCGTAATTATCTGGTCTCCTCGTCTATCGCTTGATAAAATTAAGGCACAGAAAGGCACTGGAACTACCTCAAAAAGGCACCAAATAAATGGAGGTGAACTAGTTTAAGATAGTCGGGCAAATATTTAAGCTATAATGCAAGCAGTTGATGTCAGATTATCTTCTTGCTGCCAATATACTCTTCGGGTGGGCTGCGGGGTAAAGCCAAATATTACACAACATTGTTGTTCTTCATGAACTCACACCCAACAATGTGAAACCCCCAACACTCAACTTCCTTTACTCCACTGGTGAGAAAGTCACTACCAGTGCAGGTAATACCAACATTCATGGAAGAGAGAATGGAATGGAGAATGAAAAGGGAAAAACAACCGGTGTAAAGTAAAGCAGGATATTTTATGATAGCATTGTTTTGAAAGCCAATTAAGTTGTAAAACTTATGCTTATCGGCAACAGGAATTGTAAACAGATTTGCTGATAAAACGATTCGGTTTTGTACAAAGCCTTACCTAATGGCACTTTTGCAAAATTAGTAAGCGTAAAATAGCACTGCTAGTTTGAAATTCATGGTATAAACCCCACTGATATGCTTTGACGCAAGTGGAAATGCATTTATGTGAAGGCTTACTTAAGTAAGTTCCCTTAGACCTCAAATGAAGTAAGAATACGTGGGCTATACGTGACCGATGTATTGTATGTTCTCATCGCATGCACGAACCACGCAAATTGATAGCTGTGGCGTTTTGAGAGCGAGAAGAATGCTATTAGAGAACTATGGGTGGATTGCTTAAAAACGCGTACGTACGACATAACAATGCGTCCGGTAAGATTGAACAGTACTTCGAAGATAATACGAGGAAGCAGGCGCATGACTGTTGAAACCATGTTAAACATTGATAATTCAAAATTCGCCTGGGCGCATTGACTTAAAAAATAACCTTAACACTGTGTTGTGTAGAATAGCCGAAGATGCAATTACAACTCCAGCCCTCAGCTGAATATACGTATCAGCTTGAATAAAGACGGCAACATTACCAAGGTCTTTTAAATGGAGTCACGAACGAGGAATGCCTATTCGAACTGGACTAGATGTGGGAAATCGGGTCATTGGGCGATTCGGCAAAAAAGTAAGGAAACCGCCACGGTAACATTAGTTTTGCTTGTTAAGCAAAAAAAGGTTCAGAATAGTAAGAATAAAAATGACTGACTTGAGCAGAATGGTTTAAGTCGGTGTCCAAATTGTGCACACTCCTATGCCGACCACTCTTGTTTAATTGTTTCCCTTAATTGTACAAATCTAAGGTCTCTGCATGAGCATGAGACAGAAGAGACAGCAAAAATTTGCAGACTAAGAGGACGCAATCAAAACGGGCAGGAATTAGACCTACCCATCACCTGCAAAGTTCGAGGCTGCTTTTACGCCCTGAGCTATAAAAATCACCATATATGCGACTTAAATTTGCCTCAGCACCTGTAAACGCTCCTTCCCTTCAGTGCACAAGCATCACATTTAAGCTTGAAATGCAGTGCCCATCGGCGAAGAACACTCAAGGAGACGAGGAGCTGGGCAATGAGCACTTGCCTGAACGAAGGTCTTCTATGAGAA